GTGTGTGTGCACACGTGTGTGTTCTAGTTCTCGACCTTGTCAATGACTACCCATGTGATTCCTAGCAAATTACTGGGTTTCCTTGGATCTTGCTTTCCTTATTTGTCAAATGAGTATGTTGGATTTGATGATATACATATAGAATGTATGGACTTGTGAAAGAGACTGAGACATCACTTAATCCCACTCCCTCAATTTATAGATAAGGAAAACTGATTGCCTCTGGCTCCAAAATACATTTTTAGAGGAACATATGGCTTCCTAACAGAACCAGCTTTTCTGAATACTGAGGCTGCCCCAGAGTCCCATCCCTGCCACTTGTCAACTGTGTGATAATGATCCACTCATATGGTTTCTCTAGACTTCAGTTTTCTGATATGTGAAATTGAAGAAGTTAGACTAAGAGCCCTTTCAAGTTTAAACTTTGAGGTTAAAAAAGGCATCTTTGAAAACTGACATCTTTGCCACTACTGGGATATGACTCAGAATGTAATGAAGCATAATATAGCTCTAGAAATAAATTGATGTCAAGAACAATTAAAGAGCAACCATCCAGAGAATTCTGATTGATCATTTGAGTAATTTGTTCAATGAGTACCTGGATTTGAAAATTTCTTGACTGGTGTCTTCTTTTAAAAATAACAGCCATACATCATTTGTTGTTGGCTTAGAGATACAGAAGAAGGAACCAATTAAGAAAGTTTCAGAGTTAATTTCCAATAGATTTGGATGCTGCAAACCAAAAGAAAAAACATTGCTAGGTCTTTCTTCTTTAATGAGCATTGCAATACAGCTAGTCTCGGTATTTTTCAATTGAGCACCAGAAGTTTCACAATCTATTTAATACATTGCATTCCAAGTATCTATTTACTCAGTTGTTACAAATTGCCAATGGGACAGAAACTGTCTGTCACTTCCAGAGCAATTAGTGTGTGAAAACTTATCAAAAGAAATCTGTCAAGTTTGAGTAAGTATAAATATTGCATCAAAGTCTCCAAGGAAATCAAACTGAGTGGGATACACTTTTGCGACTTGCAGCACATAAAAGTTTATTTTGTTTTATTTACTTGGCTTTATTTTTCAGAATGTTGATAGTGCTTCATGTAACCCAATGGATTAATGTTTTGCTCTGGTAAAAATAGATTTTGGTTCTTAAGGGAAATCTCAATTGTCTGTTGAGCGATATAACAATACCATATCTCGGTTTCAAATGTCAAGAGCTCTTACTTTTTCCTAGATTGGACACTGTAATGAGAGTTTAGCTAGAATGAGTACATTACAGTCTGCCTCACCCCTTTTTGGTGCTTCAACCTTACCCTTTCTGGACCTCAGAATTTTCTTATCTTTAAAATGAAGAAATAGGACAAGTGATCTGTTGGGAATGTTTTAGTTTTACTACACCTTTTGCCTGCTTTGATGTCTACATTCTTATTACATTATATTCCTCCTGCTCCTTCCTGATTGCCCTGAAGACATAAACAAATAAAAATATAATATTCCAGGTGGTGATATTTGCTTGTGAAGAAAACTAAGTTAATATCTTGGTAAGAGATTTCCCGTTTTAGGAGCTTAGTACTTAGCTCAACATGTTCTCACTAGTACACCAGCCAAGACTTTTCTGTGGACCTTTCCACTTCAGGACTCCACAGTATTTACAAACGTCAGATGTTGAACCATGTTAGTTAGGTTCCTTTGCACCTTCTATTTGAGGCTCTTCTTGGCAACTGTGATTTCTTTTTTTTTTTTTTTCAGCATAAAAAATGGTTATAGTGGTTATGTTGTTATTACAATTTGGGAAACATTACAACTTTAGTTCAATGTTTTGTCATTGTTTTCTGTTGTTCTATTTAATGTTAATGATTTTGCAGAAACTCAAGTAATACAGTTAATAATCCTTATATTCTACTTATTGTTTTTTGAATAGAACTAATTGAATTGATATAGCGTTTCCCAAACTAGATTTCTTGAGCTATGGGGGTTATGTGGTTGTGGTGGTGGTAATTCCATGAGCAAATAAGTTTGGATGCTTAAACACTAAGGAATGTCAAGGATACTGGCATGATAAAATTTCTTGCCAGTCCTAGACGAAAAAAAATTAAAAATCTGTTTTACTTTGTTTAATCAGTACTTCTCAAAGTAATTTGATCATGCAACCCTTTGAGTTTTAGGGAGGTAGGAATAGAAAACAAAGAATTAATCATCAATGACCACTGTTGAGGAAATGCTGCAGTAGACACTTCCAGTTGTTTGCCTCTCCCACTAAGTTACTTAAGTCACAAAAGCAGTGAAACCAAATGAATCAACTTATCTTTAATTAGATCAAATGGCATGTTAATTGAATTTTTTTAAAGTTTTACTTTTATAATGATTAACCTGGTGAAGTGCAACACCAGTAATAACTAATATCTGTATAGTCCTTTAGAGAATTCAGAGTAGTTTCACATAATCAGATCCTCACCACATACCTGCCTCACATTTAAAATTGTCCTCATTTTATGGACCAGGAAGCTGAAAATGAAGTTTAAATGGCTTCCCTTATGTAACACAGGTTTGAACTTTAGTCTTACTCTGTTGTTGTTGTTGTTCCTCTCCGAATAGAAAAATAATGAAGCAGATGCCATTTTCCCAATATCAACTTTCTAGTTGTAAATGAGCCTCCCGCAGAATTCAGAGAAGCCACTACCAAGAGTTCTGAAATATATTGCAGGGAAAAAAATAATAATTTTCTGTATTTGATTCCAACTCTCCCTGGAGAATTGTGGGTTAATATTGTGCTGGTAAATTACATTCTAACTTCCATCATGTGACTTTGGAGATGCTAATTTATACTTAAAACTCTCTTATAACTAACTAATTAGAGGATAGACAGTCTTCTCATTTTGCATAGGAGAAAGTTGAGGTGCTGCGAGATTACTAGGTTTGCTTTAAACTCACCCATTGAGTATGTAAGGAGTACATTGCTATGCTGTTTGTTAAAAGCCTGCCATACAGGATAGTACTTCACAATGTATTATAGGGGCTCATCCTCCCCAAGATTTTAGTTTCTTGAGGAAGTAACTAGCTATCTGGGAAGCACTTGTTTATTTACACAGAGTATCCTCTTGACATCAGCATGGGGTTACTTATAATTACATGCACATGCGTAAATAAAATGATTAGCCATTCTCATATAAACATAATTATATCTTTCTAAAATAATGCATGTGGAAATGTTATAATCCAATGATAAAGGGAAAGCAATCTGCATGACCCCTCCTTTGTGTGTAAACAGGAATTATTAAGGCAGAATATGTCTCCTGTTGCACATTCAGTTGTTGAGGTCAAGTACAATTGGGACACATTGAAGGATTAAAGTACAAAAAATGCCTTTTACAGTAATTAGTGTTCTCTCTACAAAGCTGAAGTGACCTTTCTGCTATTTTCCAAGGACACTTGATGCATTTAGACTTTAGCTTGGGATCATATGAAAAAGTGACATATAAGAACTCAGCCAACTAGCCCTGAAACCAGAGGCCCCATTGCATTTACTTGTTCCCTCACCCTCCCTTCAACAAAGTAATTTTTAAAGATAAAGTGGGACATGTTGGCTAATCAGTGCCAGTAGCTAGTGTATCACTTCTCCAGCTTGGACAAATCTGGAAATTACACTTTAAAGAGAGGAATCATGGAATGCCTGGAGCTGAAGCAGTTTGATTTCCTCGGAGCACAATAGTTCACTGCAGCAAATCACTTAAACTCACTGTCATTTAGCGGTCTTCTCTGAAATGGAAGCATGGGCTCATGTGGTCCTTCATAAAACATTTACCTAAATCTGATAAAAATTAGAACTTTCAGAGGAACATTTTCAGATACAACTGCCTATTAAATTCATCCCACTGACATTACGGGAAAAGTGTCGTAAAAATATTGTTCTTTAATCACTACTTCATATCCACTCCCTCATGGATATAACAATTTTTTTCTATTTTTAAAAAATATTTTATTGCACTTTAGGTTCTGGGGTACCTGTACAGAATATGCAGGATTGTTGCATAGGTACATAAATGGCAATACGGTTTACCGACTCCATCTTTGTCACCTATATCTGGAATTTCTCCCCATGTTATCCCTCCCCAACTCCCTACCTCCCACTGTCCCTCCCCTATTCCCCCCCAACAGACCCCAGTGTGTGATGCTCCCCTCCCTGTGTCCATGTGCTCTCATTGTTCAACAATAATTTTTTTTTAAATACAGATGTGTATTTGTGGAATCGGTCAACTAGTCAGTCAGTGTGTACTTAATGAGTATTTGCCACATATTAAACTGCTGTCTTACTAAAATGATGGAAAAGTGTTCAACCTCACAAGTGAAAAGAAAGAATTTGAGTTGATGGTAGGAGGCATTGGGAGAAGACTGCTTTAAGACTCAGAAATTATTCTGTTGCTAATCAGGGCTAAGAGTTTGGATAAGTTACTCTGTTCCTCTGTGCCAGTTTCTCACTTAATGGAAAGAAAACTATCAAATGTATTAGGAATCATAAACTGCTATGCAAGTATGTGGCATTATGATGTAATATAATGAATGCTATCTATAAAATGAAAGAAATGATCCAAGTAGTTTCCACGGTAGCTTCCAGCATTACTGTATCAAGATTATAGATACCTTGAGTCTGTAATTTGAGCATTACTCAATACATGTTGCATAGGGCCTGACATATGGTTAGCAAACTGTAAATGCTTAGCCCTTGACTTAAAGAGATTGGACATCACTTAATCAACTATCAGTGTATCTTCTAGTTCGCTGGAAATAAAACCTTATTGACTGATAGTAGAAAGGCTGGTAAAATACCATAGGGGACTGTGATTACTTTCTATCTCTATTTAGAATGCTGAAAAAAAGGTGATTTTAGCAGGCTGAAAAAGAGTATATAAATTTTTTAACCTGATCATTTCTTTCATGAAAACAGTAGGGTTCCAGTGCCAAAAGACATACTTGTAATGAAGATTTTTTTTTACTTTCAGAGCTGAGTTATGCCTGGATCTTCAACGAATACCCGTCCTATCAGGATAATCGCCGCTTTGTTTCTCAGGAGACTGGGAATCTGTATATTGCCAAAGTAGAAAAATCAGATGTTGGGAATTATACCTGTGTGGTTACCAATACTGTGACAAACCACAAGGTCCTGGGGCCACCTACACCACTAATATTAAGAAACGATGGTGAGTTTTCTAAGTAATTTTATTAATTCTGTTTTTTGCAATCACAGGCTGAACGTGGAAGGGTGTTATGTTATTGGCACACAAAGCTTTATTGTCTAAATTAAACGTAAGAATAGTTTAATGCTGTCTATATTTGGTACCCATATTTTCTCCACTTATGTAAGAAATAAATCCATGAATTCATTTTGGAAAACTAATTAGAAATCTAATTGCTAATCTCAACAGCAATAGAATGAGGATTTAGGTGAATATAAATAACAAAGGAAGATATTTCTTGTTTCTCTCTCACTTAAACTGTATACACAGTCAGAATGAAGTGAAAGGTTGAACAATTAGCTCATTAATCAATTCTATGTAATTTAGTATTCTGTGCCAATTATCCAAATAACCTCTGGATTTACAATACTACAGGCATAGTTCCCACCACAGTGAAATATAGACGTAACAATGCTTATTTGAGACAGTTTTAATTCCCCACACTATTAGAATATTTCAAGAAAATATATGACATTTATATACTCTTAATTACCTAAATGACTTAACAATGTGTAGTAAAAATCACCACGTACTTTGCAAAGACAGTTGTGTATGCCAAACTCTAGGAGTATCATGCCCTTTCCCACAATGGGTTTTTATATATGCTGTTCCCTCTTCTTGAAATGCTCCTCCTTTCCTTAGTCCCATCCTCTCAGCCTCTCGCTTGGAAACTGTTGCTGATTCCTCCTGTTTTTTCAAAGTTATCACTCTTTCCAGGAAGTCATTTCTGCTTGCCCACCCTGCCACCCAACCATGCTGAGTCAGGTACCTTCTGTATCAAGTCTATGCCCATACCCCTCAAGATCTCAGAATTCTGCATCACAATTGCCTGTGTGCTTCACTGTCTGTCTTACTAGCAATTTGCCTTTTTAAAAGCACATTTAGTACCTTATTCACAGCCACCTCTGCTGTACCAGTTTAGCACCTGGTACATCGAAGATTCTCAATAAATATTTGTTGAATAAATTAAAACAAAGACATATGCCCTTCAACAAGGTCTGATATCATGATTTATGCAGTCATAATGGACATATTCAGGTTTCTATTCTTTTTAATTCTCTTTCCTGTCTAGTACACATTCAGATCTTCCATTATGAACAGGAATGACTAGACCCATCACACAAGTGAGGATACTATCATCCAAAAACATTAATAGCAAACATCTATTTGACACTTAATATGTGCTTACTCGCTGTGCACAGAACTGTATGTGAATTATCTCATTTAAATCTCAAGTATCTATATTATAAACATTCACTTTTGCAGATGGGGAAACTGGGCTCAGCCACATTTGTTAAAAATAAGGATTTAATGGTTCCAAGATTTTTAAGCCAGCACCCATCTCTTACTGACTTCAGAGCCTGATATCTTAAACTCTCACAATGTTTCCTTGCATTATACTGTAACACCTCTTACCTGAATTTATACAGTAAAAACTTGACAAATGCAAAACTGGAACTCCGATTTCTACCCCCCAAGTTGGTTGCTCTTTCCCTCTGTTTTGTCAGTGGACTTTGTGTCCAAGTGAGGCTCTGAACTTGAACCTTCCAGAAGAATATTTACAGACTAAGCAACTCTGAAGAGAGGGTCTGAGCATCCTTACTACATAGACTGTGAAATTTTCAGCAAATAATTTAGATTTTAACCATTCATTTATTCATTCATTTAACATGCATTTATTTAAAACTTGCTGTGTGACAGTCACTATGCTGAGTGCTGGTGAACAGGAGGCACTTACATTCTTCTTCGGGATGCAGACACAAAGAAACATAAACAAAAAAATTCTATTATTTTATATAGCAATAAACCAGTAGGATAAAATAGCAGCTCTGTGGCAGGGATGTCCACTTTAGACAGCCATGGAAAGCCTTTCTAAGGAGAGAACATGTGAGCTGAGACCTGAATAGCAAGAAGTCAGACCTCTTAAGATCAGGGAATGGAGCTTTCCAGGCTGAGTTAACATCACATGCAAAGGCCCTGAGGCCTGAAAAAAAGCACTCAGCATGTTCAGGGAATACAAAGAATGTGAGCATGGTTGGAGCATAGTTAGCAGGGTGGAGGGTGGATAGAATTAAGGTTAAAAGAGATTCCAGGGCCAGGACAGGGAGGCCATAGAGAAATTACCAGATTTTACTTTGAGTGCAGTGAGAAGCTGTTAGAGAATTGTATACAAGAGTGATTTATGTTTTTAAGAAGACTTCCTAGCTACTATATGGAAAATGGAGTTTCAGAAAACAAGAGTGAAAACTGGAAGTCCAATCAGAATACTACTACAGTTATTCAGTTGGGAATGATGATGGGTTAAACTGGGGAGTAACAGCAGAGAAGGAGAGAAATTGATTCAGGATATAGTTTGCCTGTAAAGCTGCCAGAACCTGCTCATTCCTTAAATGTGGGAAATAGTCAAAGAGGAAATCAAGGATGACACATAGGTTTTTGGCATAGCAACTGAGTATATGGGAAATGGTTTTACTGTACAGGTTTGTAAGGGGAAAATCAAAAATACTATTTTAAACAATTATTTGTAAAACCAAATACATAACTTCTCCCTTGGCAACAGGAAGAATTATTTGTTTTGTGCTTTCTTAGCCATCTTTCTATCATAACATTCATCTGGTATTTTCATCTTTGTCAGCTTGCTTTCCCCACCCCACTCACATTATGATCAAGAAAAGATCATCATTTTCATCTGACTATGTACTGCATTCCAGCAGAGTGCTTGCCACATGGCAAATGTTAAATTAATATGTTGGATTAAGCTGCATTATATTAAATAAAACTGAAAACTCTTATCAGCTTAAAGAGAAAAGTAGACTAGGTACTAGCTCTGTCAAAAGCTATCAGTTCTATATCTCTCCAGACTGACAGATGAAGAAACTTTTGAAAGATATGCTCCAGTGGCATTTTGTAAGAAATCACTTAAAAATACAGACCCTCTGGCTTCTACCCAAAGTTCACTTATTCACTTATTCCATATCTGTTCTGTGGTATTATCTGTTTTGGTCTGTCAAGTTATAGATGTAATTACATATTGACTTTGATATACTATCATATAGCCAGGGACAGACGCCACACAGAACTGCTTCTTCAAAAAACAAGAAACGAACATTCAGGAACACAAGCACTACAGAATCATCATGTACACTTCAAACTGGCAACAACGCTGCCTTTCCCCTGGCTTTTAGATTCACCTTCATTTATCTAATATATCTTCATAGAGATGACAAATAGTTTGTATTAAAATATTTTAACACAAAGTTAGCAGACTAAGGATCTCATTCTTCAGTCATTAATGCCCACTCATTCTTAATTTCCATGAGCATCACATGGTGAAAATTCATGTATTTTCCATTTACACTGGAGTATATAAAATGAACACTCAAACTGTGTTATTAAGCACAAAAGAGGTTATTTAATTAGCTCTTTTCTGAAGGTGAGAGGAAAGGGAAACTATAAATCGAGAAGAAATTGCAAAATAAAGAGGACAACCTTGTTAAAATCTTCTGTGAGAGTAAAATCAGTGAAATTCTGTCTCCTCAAGATCTGGGATTTGGTGACTGTATATTAGACTCATTAAGTGCAAGGTGAGTATAGAATTTGTACAATCGTTTTGATCATTGAAGCACACTCAAAATTTCACACCCTCTGTCTACCTCAGAAAAGGGAAAAAAACAAGGCAAAGAAGTTTGAAGACTGAACTGGGCTAATTGTTAGCTTTACCTTTCTAAGAGCACATGTAGCTAGAACTGTATTTCCCAATATTCAGCTTGGTTTTTTGGGGGGGATTTCAGCTAGGCAGTCTGGATTATGATTCCTTATTTGTAGCCCGAGAGGTCATAGTGAGTCATTAAAAAGTGAACAGTGAACCTTGGCCTAGCTCCTGATACAAACGAGGTGTGATGAGTCCCATGTCTGTTCACTGACCATTTACCACTCACCCCAGCACACTAGAGTTCTGCAAACCCTTGGGGCTCCCCGTTCCCTTTTCCCCAGCTCTTCACATGGCCCACTCCTTCCTACATCTCAGATGATGACTCCAATGTGGGGCCAGGAGATAAGGACACAGACATGAGGAACCTGGAGCCAAGCAGCCCAGGCAGAGTTCAGCCCTACCATTTATTAGCCATGTGGCTTTGGATGTGTCAGTATAACCTGATTGTACTTGGTTTTCTCATCAGTAAGATAAGAATAACATCATCTACCTCAGATAGTTATTTTGTATCATAATAAAAAGTACTTTGAACAGTGACAAAGCAGAAGTATAACATCAATAACTGTCTTACCTAAAATATGTTCAACAAATTATATTTTTAAAAAACAGATTACAATAGTGTATAGATAGTGTTCTTCCTTTTTAAAATAGCGAATAATGACAGAGAAAGGCAGAATAATACTCTCCAAAGTGACTAATGGTGTTAAACTCTAAAGTGTTTAACTTTTAGTGGCAAATTTTGATTTCTTTTTTTCTTTTTGCTTGATATTACTTTTCTCACTTTTCTAAAATATAGATTTTTTCAAATTTTTAGAACATTATTTCATAAAGGGGTTATACACACATTATTGGACCTAGTAGGTACTTAGAGATCATCCAATTGTGTATCTTTATTTATTTATTTTTTTTTAGAAACAAGGGAACTAAAGACCAGAGAATTCAGATAAGAAAAATGGCATCAGGACAGATTCTTGGTACCTGGCCATTATACTATTTCACTGAGGTTCAGAAAAGGCTGTTTCGGTTCTAGATTTACAAACTTGCTTTGTTTCTTTTGCTTTATGATTTTTGAAAATTTTCTAGTGAGAATTACTTTAAATAAGTATGTTATTTTGGAGTATTCACCTCAAGAACATATAAAATATGAGATGTTACACAAATGTAAGAAAAATTTTTATCAGAGTTTATAGTTATTTATCCAGATATTTTAAAATCTGCTTTGAGAAGATAACTGATGTGGGAAAGTACACCT